ATTTCTACTTAAATCATGTGGCTAGGTATTATCAAACTATTACTGCTTCTAAAAGCAATAATAATTATTTTACATTTAATGTAATCTTTAGCTAATAAATAAATGAGATTCTAAAAAAGTGAGGTTAGGCCGCTTTGATGTTGAATTAAATTGACCTATATAAAGTGCTTTGAAGATAACATGTATGCCATTCAGCAATAACTATTTATAAAAGCCAAGAGTCACATGTGTTACTTGAGATATTTTCGAACAATTTGTTTCGATCGACTTATCAACTCGGCACGGCAAAGTTTGAACTCGCCGAGATCAATAAAAAGCGGCAAGACATAAATTTGGACATGCTGCTGGGTCTTCTATTGTTTCGAGGGCTTGTTTGGAATATTTTCCAGTTTTGTCGGGTGCTTACTTAAATATTTCGTCGCTAAAACTTTCCAGGGGATCGGCACACACACACACAGAGAAAACTTTCGACAATGAAGAAGTCATGCAGCGGGATAACATCGCACTATAAACAAACTCGAAAGTTTATTCAGAGCGATTTTCATTGCATTACTCGCGTAACTTTTCCATTTAATACACTCGGATGCAAAGTCGGAGTTTTCCGCATCGGCTATTCGATTCATTTTTATACTTTAAATTCACAGAAAGAAAAACTATACGTAATAGTTTCATGCGAGTGTTTAAGTTGCTCACGAGGCCGTCAGGCCGAGTGTGCATTAACACGAGCTTGAAGAAAGTTTTTCTCACAACTGAAACGCAATGTTTTTTCTACAAGCCTTTTATTTTTTATTATATTCAAATACAAAACAAAATAACCTAAAAACGTGTTTGACAGCTGTTAAAATTCTTCATTCATCTAATTCTTTTAATTTTTAGTTACTTAAAATCAATAAACTCAATTTAAATAAACGAAAGTCAAACGATGCTGTCAATTTCTTTTCACAAAGACCTGTCACTTTTCACACAGAAATGTCACTTTACATTCGTGTTTTGCCTTGCCAATGAAAAGATTCATTTTCTAAGCAACGATGCCAATACGAACTGTGACTTTTACATAGTGGTCGCAGAAAAAATTACAACAATGCTTTTTGATCATAGATTAATAACTAAGTACATTGAAACAAAATTAATTATTTCCTTAATTAATATAATATAAAAATTTATTGAATTATGGTAAAACATTCTTCATTCAAGTATTTTTTGAAATACCAGTTTTATGTTAATGCTACACTGACCCTTTTTGATTTTCCTTTATCAATATGTTTCTTTACCATATTAAAAAGTATTATTCTTTGACCTAGTGGTATATATTGCTAAGATTTATTTTTTAGGACAGAGGGTTGGTTTTCCACACTGTTCATTGTTCATATTGTCCATTTTGTCTCTCATGTCTCTCAAATTTAAAAATAGTTTTCTTTGGTTATGTTCAGGGATTTTAATGTAATCGTTATATAAAGCCAATAAATCACAGAACAAACAAAAAATTAACAAAACTGGGAAGCCACCGGGTCTAGTAATAACATAACATAAGTGGTTCTGCACTAATGCAAGAATTTTAAGAAATCATACATTTTGATTATTAGAGCTTCACGGAAGATAGCTTCACGGAGGTTAGAATTTCGTATATTTGAAATAAGTTATTGTATCTTTTGACACCTTAATATTTTTTAAAAATACAATTGTACTTACATAAAATATTTATAAAAAAATCGATTACACTTCACGGTGGATAGGTTTTTAAATAGCAAATTAATGAACTTAAACTTTTGAATTATAAAACAGCAACATTCTTATCTGCATTTAAATTCTAACTGACCTTCAGAAATCACATGCATCTATAATATCGTAAACAGAGGTTTTTGCTTATTTAAAATGATTAAAGCGCCATCCGTTGCATAAAATTTAAAGCAAAAACAGATTCACGGAGGATAGAATCAATTTTTGTAACACCAACATAAATGGTTATAAAAATGATTTCTTGTAATTTTTGATTCGATTGCTTTGGATGTGTTTAATTTACTAAGTGAACTAATATTTTTAGTATATTTGAAAATATATAAGTTAACCTAGAAAGAGTAACAATCACGGAGGATAGGTTTTGGACTTTTAAAACACTAAAAATAATTAATTGTGGTTAAAAATCTGGAACCTGAGATATATACAGGGTGTTATGTAATTAATGTTATATATTAAAATACTGAATACCTTTTGACATAAGGAATAAAGGAAAAATATTTAAAAAAACATTTTTCCAAAGATAAAGAAAAAATATGCATTAGAAGTTTTTTATATTTTTTGTGATAAGCCACTGGTTACACACTTGTTAATTTTTCTTGCAAAAAATAAATAAAAACTCAATAAATACAAAAGTTTTATGCCCTTAAAGCTCTAATACCCTTCTGTATTTATTTACTGATCCAGCTATTAGCTTAAGCAATGATTAGAAAATTTGGTACCTTTGAAATTTGAAAAATCCATAACCACAAAATTAATTTTTTCATCAGTTTTTTTCTCTGTTTACTCAGATGAAATTGGGACCAGTTCACAGGTTAAACTTTAAACATTTAATTTGTGTAAATAAATCCAAAAGCACTTCCCTTAGTTAAGATATTTACAATTTGAAAACATAACCTAAAATTTAAAAGAAATGCACGATTCTGTTATAAAAGTTGGCAGATTTTGTTTGAATTTACCTTCAGTACAAAAATGAAATAACCAACAATTAATAAAAATGCCAAATTGACAATTTGCATTGTTAATTTTGTCATTTTTGTAATTAGGCTAAATTTAAACAATGTTTGTCAACTTTTTTGAGAGATTTTGGAAACACTGTGGTTACCAACCATAACATAATAAATCCACCAGATTAACCTAAAGTTCCTAGTCGATCAGTGGCGTACTTTTTGGTAGGATAAAGGTTATTATAAATTATTTTTAGACTTTGGAATTTAGAAAAAAAAAGTTTCAGGTGCTTCTTTATGGACCCTAAGGAACAACCCATTTTAATATATAACATTAATTACATAACACCCTGTATGTTATTTAAACTTTAAAGTTGTCATTTAAACTGAATCATTTTACTTTATTAATTAAATTCTACAACGAATTATTAAGGTGAACCGAGGAATGGAAATAATTTTAAAACTTTTGCAATTTGAAACTGAAACTTGAAACTTTAGTAAACGTAGTTTACGTAATGCCACGAGAGCTAAAATCATAGGTAAAATTATATAGAAACGACCAACAAATTATTAAATATTATACATTTACCATAAATTATTTTTACGCCAACAGCTCTTAATTTAAAAACGCGAACTAAATTAAAGATTAATTTGGGACAATTATGCCGCGTAAGGTCATTGTGAAACTTAACGAGAAAAAAGTAGAAGAGCAGAAGGAAGCCAGTCAAGAAAACGTCTGAAATAATCGGGAGCAAAAAGCGGGTATAATCCCCGGGGTGTTGCTAATTAATAATGTCAAGCAGGGAACTTGTATTTCGAAGCTAATTGAAAATGTCCCCATTGTCCTTATCCCGCGTAATTTCACTGCGACACGCTCGTTTTTGTTTTTTGTTAGGTTAGACAATGATTTAGGTATAGAGGGAGGGCAAAACTCAATGGCAAAACAATAGTTTGTTTGTGAATGTTGAACATCTGACATATATCAGACACTTCTAACCTTTCTTTTTCTCAATACACAGTAAACAATTTTGCCCGTGTAAATTTTTTAGTGTAGGGGTAAAAATATTAAAGCTGATTTGTAAGTGTAAAAGTTATACTACAAAATACACTAGGTAGCATTTAGTGCTTATTAACTTTATTAAACACATTTAAAGAATATAAACATTATTCATTGGTACATTCACACTATTTATTATTAAAATAAATCAAAAGGGTAGAAAAACTTAATGCGAGTGTTTATTACCCCTTAAAGTGTTAAATAGTGACAAAATGTACACTACAGTGAATGCCAATTTCTTTGTCTGTTTTGATGTTACTAAGAGCTCTTTTTTATTTACACTACTAGTGCACATTGTATCACAATTAAAGTTAAATTACACCACTAGTGGCAAAAACTGGTAATAACCGAAATGCGTTTTAAAATTGGTTGGTACCTATCTACCTACGCAGTGCATATCCGGAGATACCGCGTTGTGGAAGTGTGGCATTTTTGTTCAGTTAGATTTTAATTACGGTGAATCCATAAGAGGACATTTTTATTTTTTGGTAAGTTTTATACTTCCTTTTTCTTTAAGCCTTAATACTCAATAAATACCAATATGTTAAAAGGATGTCCATACCCGACCTATATTATATATCAATAATTTACGGCAGTAGGTCGGGTACTTGTAACATTAATAATATAAATACATACACACTTGATTTACTTTTTATTTTCAAGCGTAATGGTTGTTATATTAACCTATACCTACATTTTTATTAATATTATGGAAAATTTGTACACGTGTGGTAAATCCCTGACATACAGCCGCCTGACGCCTCTCTACCAATGGGATCACGCATTTTTTATAACAGAAAAATGGATTACTGATTAATTCTCAAGATAATTCATTGCTTACAAGTTGACAGCCAGTAAAACATTGCATTGATCTAAAACTTTTACGTTTTAAGGAACCATTTTGCTTAAACCAGCCATACGACTCAAATATAAAATTATATTTTAAAAGGCACCGATTTTGATAATTGTCATAGATTTTTGTTCGAAATAAATGTTTCTCTTTATTTACCTTTTCGTTTTATTCACTACCACCAATAGGTTTAACTCAAATAATAGTGTTAATTTACACTAGAAGTTTGCACTAAAAGAGTAAAATTACCTTTCTAAAATAAAAACTTTTCCAAAGTACAAATGGAATTTCATTCCAAAATATATCTTATAGTATTTAATATTTATGAACATGAAAATTGTGAACAATTTTTTTCGTTAAATTTCAGATTTGTGTAATTGTAATATATAAAATATAAAAAAGCACAACTTACATTTTCTGGACTTATTCCCTCTTGGTGCTTTCTTCTTCCTCATCTCACTTTTGTCTTGTATAAGACCCATGACGAGCAACTTTTCAACAATCCTATTTTTAGGCCTTTTGACAGTTAATCTGTCCATAATGCAAGTCAGAGGATCTTAAAATGAACAAAAAAAAATAAAAAATCAATGCCAACAAAAGGTAATCCTTAGTTAAACTTACCGATGGCTTCTTGAAAATTCTCGAAAAGATCTCTTAGCTGTGTCTCCTCCTCTGCGCCCCAGTTTTGCGGCACTTTTATGTTGACGGCGGATTTTTGGGGGCGGCTCTTTTTGTAGTCTATTATTAGGCACATTTCCTTTAATTTGTGGAGCACTACTCTTCTAGTTCTGGTGTTGTCTATCAGATTGCTGCAGATCCAATCCACAACGTCTGAAAAAACATTTTTTGATCGTTTACTTTTTCTATTTTGTTAGCAGTGAAATAGGCTTTTTTATTGAGTAAAATAAATTAATAAAAGTAAAGTTGTATTGTGTAATAAAATTCAATAAAATGAAAATTCCTTTTTTTGTTTTAAAAATATTCAACCCGAATCATAAATTAATTAAAATTAATAACGAAGTTATAATATCATTTGTATACAATTTAATTATAGTTTATTTGACCTATTTTAAATAAATTATTTGCCATGTTTTGGTTTGCATTAATTAAAGTTATAAAGCGCATACCATATTATTAATTAAAAGGGTATAATATTAAATTTGTAATTAAAAAATTAAAATGTCAGTACAATATTCATATAAACTTTTCAAATATTCAAATATTGGCTTTGAGAAACTATTCAATTCTTTTGTATTTTTGTATTGAGATAATAAAATAATTTTCACATTTAGTATTATTTTACAAAAAAGACAATTTATTTTAACGATTGTATGACATTTGACAACTGTCAACTAACTTAAAACTAACTTCAGCCCGTGACTAAAAACCTGTTGCTAACTTCAGCTCGTGACTAAAGCGCCATAAAGCCACAACTGGTCAATGTGTATTTAAAAGGTCACTTAGTGTCATGGAAACATGTACGATAAAGGGCGTTTTAAAGGTGGGAGTAGAAAAAAGTAATTAGCATACCTTCCTCTTGATGATCTCTTTGATGCTCGACAAATAATCTTCTTAATTCATCTTCTTCCTGTTCTGTCCAAGTTTTAGCACTTGCTGAAGATCTGAAAAAATATATTAAAAAAGTATATTAATTTATATATACAAAAACTACTTTGCAGTTCCTATTCATGGTGTCCCTAAATTTAGGATTGAGCAAGTCAAAATAAGACGAAAACCCAAATAAATATTTTTCCTAATTAGGTACTTATGTTTCCAAGATACAGGGTGATAAAGTGTTACTTATCATATCAGTTTATTTAATATAACTTCTACTATGGTAGTCTTGGAAAGGTGATATTTTGCGAACAGTCACTTACTACCAAAACACATATTCACACATAATTACAATTGTTTGAGTGAACACAGTGTCGTAGAAACGGGGGTTGTTTTAAGCTTATTGTCCCATACAAACTTTGAGGTTAGGTTTTTATAACATTTGATGCAATTTTTTGATTACTCAGTTCGGCTACCATTAAAAAGGTGTACCTCTCAAACTTCGATAAAATAAACCGTTTCCGAGATATTCGAGATTTCAATAATTGTTATATCGCATTATTTAAAAGGATTAAAAGGTATATGATAACAAATTTTATTTTTTAATTGAAAAAACTAAAAAGGGCATTCTATGAGTCTCTGGATTTTTGCCCTGACCGTTACATTAAAAAAATTGTAGTCGTCTTATTTTGACTTGCTTAATCTGCTCCTAAATTTATGTCACTAAGTTTATGGACACCTTGTATAATAAACGATCCAAAAACTTGAAGGTGGTCATTATTTCGGATTATAAGGAAAAAACTTTACAAAGAAATCATTTGTGAACTGAAATAGCAAACATAATAGAATCGTATCTTGGGTTGAGAGGGAGAAAATCTGTAAAATCTAAGCTGTTCCACCAACTAAAAACTTACTTTTCCTGATAGCTACCGTAACCTTGTTCGATGTCGTAAGCAGTTCGACTCGACTTCCAGAACAAAGACTCCATATAAACTTTGTTATTGATTTCGGAGACCTTAAAAAACTGCCTCATTACGTACGTCCCGAATTTTGCCAACTCCTGAAAATACATCACAAAAATTAAATTAAATTAAAGTAGGTGGCCTTCCACTTCATTGCATTTATGAATTCGCATTTCGTTTTAATATTCTGCTCTGGGATATCCCCAAATCTCTAGATAATTCTCGTGTGCTTGCATGAGGGTTAGCGGCCGTTGCTGCTAATACATTGATTTCATTATTTCCACCTGTGACTGTTGCTCGACGAACTCTTTTTTTCGGTTGAACACTCCCGTTTGTAGTAAACTGCTTGACTGTACGGTGAAATTAAGTACGTGATCGAATTTTTTCCGGAAAACGCTGAGCGTAGATATTAACAGCATCATCAAGATTCCTGCCTGCTTCTTCATAAATCAAAATCATTTCTATTTTTTCTTCCACTGTTAAAACATCCATTATGAATAACTGCTTAACGAAAGGAGGTCTTTTTGTTTGAAAATTAATCTTCGAACTAAATTGATTAAATAATGCTAAACTATGTATAAATAGTTTCTTTATACCTCAATAATAATTATTATTTATATCTAAATACCATTTTTTATACCTCAATTAGGATTAAATTAATTAATTGACAAAATAATTTTTTTTTACCTTAAATGAGGTATTTTTATTAAAAATAGTACAATAATTCTTTAAATTAAAGGATTTAATGCTGGCAGGTAAAAAGTGACCATGGTGCGCAATTGATAATTATCACCGAATGAAATAATGTATAAAACTTAAACCAAACGAAACTTAAATATTAGTTTAAAAATCGTGGGTACTTAAAAAAATCATATTTAATTTAATAAGATAATTATTACCAAAAAAGTGATATTTTTTATAGAAAAATTATTGCAGAATCGTATACAGAAGAAAAATCGAACAAAATTGATTTTTTTTCATAACAGCGCCATCTATTACAAATATAAAAAATGTTATGGACAAAATCTACTTATTTTTAGTCGAATGATCCGAATCTGCAATAAAAAATAGGGTGTTCCATTGGAAATTTTAAAGTTACCCCCTGTTCCCTCTATTAGGAGGACAGTATAATTATAACTAGTTGATATAGATGTATACGAGGTGTGTTCAGAAAATAACGAGAATTGTTAAATTTCGCGGGTTCGGAGGGTCCGGTTGTCACAAAATTTTCTTTATTATGTTGGTATAAACTTTAACTGTTTTCATTGTTTACTTTGTCTGTGGCAGCCGCTAAGGTTAGACGTGTTTTATGAGCTCGGCGATTTTTCGTTCGTTAAAAGAAATGGATCAAAGAATTAGTTTCCAATTTTGCTTAAAAAATTAAATAAATTCTGTGAAATGTTAACAAAGGCCTATAGTGAGTCTGCTGTAAGTAAAACAAGAGTTTACAAGTGGTATAAGAGTTTCCAAGATGGCCGTGAAGACGTTGAAGATGACGAACGCCCCGAATGCACAAGCACATTAACAACCGATAAAAACATGGAAAAAGTGTAAGAAATGGTTATAAACCATCAGAGAAGCCGCTGATGATGTTGGTATATCGATTGGCTCATCCCATAAAAAATTTTCGAATGTTTTGGGTATGAAACGCTTGGCAGCAAAATTTGTTCCAAAATTGTTAAAGCCTCCATATTCCCAAGACATGCCTCTGTCTGACTTTTTCCTATTCCCAAAAATAAAGAGAACCTTTAAGGGCCGTCGTTTTGCAAGCATAGATGACATTAAAAGCGCATAGCTGAAAGAACTAAAGGCTATCCCAAAGATCGAGTTTTAGAAGTGTTTCGAGTATTGGAAGAAGAGCTGGCACATGTGCATAATATCCAATGGGGACTATTTTGAAGGCGACAACATTAATGTAGACGAATAAATAAATATTTGTTTCAAAAAACGAAAATTCCCGATATTTTCTGAACACACCTTGTATACATCATAAGCAAAAACCTAGAATATGCAATCCAGAAGTGTTCTTTTTACATTTAAAGCGTTTACAAATATTTTTTAATCCCATACTTTAAATTGCAACTCGGTATTAGCAAGTCGTAGCAGGCTCAGTTGTAATTGCAATTAGCACTGTAAAAATGCGAAAAATATTGCTCTAATTACGAATGAAAAATCTCTGCGAAACTCTTCATACAAAATTTTCCAGCACTTTAAATGATTAGAGGCACGACAATACAGAAAATCAAGAACTAATTTTGTTTACCTTCTATATACGAGACTATTTTCTATTGAATTTTACTGTAAAAAGCAAGTAAAAATTTAATAAATATAAAGAGTTTATCAAACTTAAAAAACCCTTATTAAACACAAATAAAAAAATCTGAAATGGGGTAGTTAATTTTTTTCTGACCTATCCTTTTTATGGTTTTATTCAAGGCGTTTTGTAATTTTAAACATTTCTGTAAAATTGGAATTTCAATTGAGTTTACCGTTTTCGAGATATTTAAAAAAAAAATCTCCTAATTACGTCACTAGGCTATTGACAACGTTGCCAGCTTTTTCTATGGTTGCCAGGGTGTTTAGTTTAAGATTCTTACGATAGATGGCGCCTCGTTATAATATTTTAGTTTTAAAACCACTTGATCTATAATTTTAGTTGAGAAGAAGAAGAATTGATTTTTTGACGTTTCTTTTTTTCGGGTTATGTTTTTTTAAATTTAGATTATTGAAAATCAATGTTATTGTTATGTTATTTGTAATTGATATTAGATAAGTGATTTATTAATAACGGACTCCAAAGCAGAAGAATCTTGTGGAATGGTTGGTTACATTGAACATTGGAGCTTTTAAACAAATAAAAGTACCTATAACTATAATCATATAAGTACCTATAACTATAATCATATTTTGTCGTAAATGCATTTCATTAGTATAATGCCTAGTTCTTTATATTCTTTTAGATATATCTTGGACTCTAAAATATCAAACAGTAATATTAACAATTTGACCATCTTTCACTCAACTGACAGTGACAGTTTTTGTACATAACCTCTTCGGGTATTTTCTGACATAACCGAATGAAATCATTAACAAGACAACTTGACAACAGGGTAATTTTCAACCAATAGAAATCTTAGAATGTTGGTCACATGGCGAGGTTTGTGACGTCATAAAAATTTATATTTTTTGTAAATATCTCGAAAACGGTAAACTCAATTGAAATTCTGATTTCACAGAAATGTTTAATATTACAAAACGCCTTGAATAAAACCATAAAAAGTATAGGTCAGAAAAAATTTAACTACCCCATTCTCTTCAGTCATGAAAATTAAGCGATAAAATTCCGTTTATAATAACAAGCGTTATTTATCCATACATAAAACTATACATCATGATGTTGAGTATCCATTAAACGAACCTTTCGCCGAAATACGTCTATTGTTTTAATATAAAGCCGAACAATTAGATTTTAATCGCGAATTGTTTATGATTTAGTGGGCCCTTAAAATTTTGTTCGGCGAAACAAGATAAACTTTATCTTCAGCGCTACTTTTATTGCCTCGTATATCTTGCAGCTTCTGGAATCTTTATTCGTACACATATTTCTTTGCATATTAGAAAACGCCTTAAATTACTTTGGGTTATATACACTCAGAAAAATGGACATGCACTGATAATTATCATACTAATACTAATACTAATTTTGTAGGGACAAAAATTTACGATTTGTCAAAGTAATGAGATTATTTTTATTTACAGAATAAACTTTTTTTACTGTTAAAAAAAATTTCATTTACTATAATGAAGCAGCAATGTTGAGCTTTTATAAAAAAATGTTCATCCAACAAAGTAATAGTTGTTATCATATTGCCATGGCAATATGATATACTGTCTGTCCACTCTAAGTTGGCTGAACTAAGGAATTTTGTTGTTTAGATATTAATGAATTGTCGTACTGTGTGCTTTTAAAACAGATTTTATATTATAAATAATACTAGTATATAATATGTACTAGTATTATTTATAATATAAAATCTGTTTTAAAAGCACACAGTACGACAATTCTTTAATATCCAAACTACAAAATTCCTTAGTTCCGCCAACTTAGAGTGGACAGACAGTACTTTATGTTTATATTAAATCTTTGTCGAACTTAAAATGTTTTTGTTAAATCTATAGTTGTGTGTAAATTGCGCTTACATAAAGTAATGTGCAGTTGTTATAAATAGTACAATTTGTTCATTTTACTATGGCATATTTGTCTTTTCTAAATTACTATCGTTGTAATTCAAATTAATTTTATTTCAGTTAGAAAATCTTTGTTAAGAACAATAACAAAAATATTGTATTGCTATAAAAAAACTTGTTTAATATTTACTATTGTTTTGCAATGGTAACAAAATTGTTGTTATTTCCCTTAAAAAGAGGGGAAAAGGGCCAGCGCTCTCCTTGGTGAACATAACTATATAATCCACGGTCTGTGTTAAAATCTTATTAATTTCACTTGTGCGAGTGAAGTTTGGTAAAATCAAGCATGATAAAAATATCAAAGAGGTCACTAAGAAAATTAAAATTTCGACGTTTTCTAAAAGAAATATTTAAGGTCTATTCTATAAACGAAGCAGACTTGTTGCTTAAAAAGTGAGTTCATATTTTTTTATTTTGTACATCATATAATATGGGTTAATTTTTTTGTTATAATAAATAATTTGTTTTAATGCCTTGCAATTATTTAAAAAAACTACCCAATAACCAACAGTAGGTTGAAAATGTGGCCATTTTTACAATGAAAATAGTTTATGGAATTAATAATTAATTTGTTGTTAAATTTACATAAATTTTATTATTATTATAAAAAAAGTTTTATTTTAAACGAAAAGGGATTTGTAAAATTTACAAAATTTCTATGAATAATACCATTAGGGTTTCATTAATACTACAAAACGTTTTTGTAAACGGTATATAGAACTGTTTTTTTGGACGAATAATAATAATAACTATATTCATCATTGCGTTTCTGCATCTGGAAGAGTGTTATTTTCATAAACATGACGTAAATTTACTTTAATAATTATTAAAAAGATCATTTTTATAAAAATTATTTATCTACAAACGCTGCTTTCAGTAATAGCACTTGTATTAATTATAATTAATACAAGTGCTATTACTGAAAGCAGCGTTTGTAGATAAATAATTTTTATAAAAATGATCTTTTTGTCGTAACAAAAGCAATTGTTGGACGAATAGGGATCTTTACTTTATTAACTACTTTTTTTGTTATATTTATAAAAAAAACTGAGTGTAAAGCCTGAATTATAGATTGCCTTCCTTCCTTCCTCCCGTAGTCGTGCGCGTACGATTTGTGCGTCTTGTAAAAAGTCAATTTATAGATTACCGTGTAAAATTCCGTAACCATGCGCGATGACACCTAAAATGGTTGACATTTGTTTTTGTTTATATTCTGCGTTTTACCCATTGTGTGTAAATATGAAAGATAATCCTTTATATATTAGTGCAGTGATCACAATTTTAATTGCCCAGGCAGCTTGTTGTAATACTGTCCAACTATGGAGAAAGGCACTAACTGCTAAACAATAAATTTGTGGAAAATAAGCATAAACTACATTTTTATAAAAAGCAGTAGGTATTTAACTGATTTATTTAACTTATAAGATAGTTTACTGCATTTCTTTGTTGAATTAAGATACAAAATGTCCATAGCTTTATCATAGCACAAGAAAACGCATTTAGAAGTTTTTTGAGGTTACTGCCTTTCTCCATAGTAGGGCAGTATAATAAAAAAAAAAACATCGAAAAAGACGTTGGAAGACTCGCCCACTTTACCAAGACCGGGAAACTACGGGGTTTTACAAAGCAACGTTTCTAAAAATGAAAGACATTGATCATAAACAATATCTAAATATCCTATTTAGAGACAAAAATGATTTAATAAACTGAACACCTAACTTAAATAATACTAAACAATCGTGTATTTTAATTTTTGTGCCTACGCGCTGTCACCCTACAGCGCATCTCCATAACAAGCACTGTGATTGGTCATGTCAAAGACCTTTACGGTGAAAGATAAAACTTAAAAATTTCTACGGGAGGAAGGAATGCCGTCCTTACGGTACGGGATTCTATAAATGGCACTACGACTTAAATAAACATTTTTGACGTAATTGTCAACATTAACATTGCCCGTTATTAATTTTAATTAAACTTAACAATTATTGATACTTTAAAATATTAAAACTTCAAAATATGATTTTGTTAAGAAAATATTTTATCCTTTGATTTTTTTATTACTATCACAAAGTATAGCTAATAGTGACAATTACGTCAAAAATGTTTATTGGGTTTCGTATTGTTCACCTTCTACGGGAGGAAGGAAGGCAATCTATAATTCAGGCTTAATGAACAACTCATTAAAGCTGTCTTCACACTACAAACGTCAAATGCGGTGTGGAAATTTTTTAAAATTAGATTTTTACCTTATATTCTGGTACTTCTTTCATGGAAAATATGCGCTGGAAAGTCTTGAAAATGCTAACTTGGAAAAGCATGACGTACATTTTGCAGTCGAAAGCAATCCTGTGCAAAAGCTTGATGATGCAATGATTCGTGTTGACTGAATTTTTGTCGAACTTTTTCAGAGCTAAACCGCAAGCTCTTACAGCTTTTGGGTTTGCTAGTCTGAAAATAAACCACAAAATTAATATGTATGTTTTATAATAAAAATTAAAAAAAAAACCTTTTCGTAAAATCTTCAAATCTAAAATCGCTTTCACAGCGCATTTCTTCTTCTTCCTCCTCCTCTTCATCGTCGTACTCTTCTTCATCTGGAAATATAAAAAAGTCTCTCTCTTAAAGTTTCTAGTTCAAATCTTTTCATACAGGGTGAGTCATTTAACTTAAAACTTTAAAATATCTGTTAGTAGTAAATTTATTTATTTATTTCGTTTTAATATTCTGCTCTGGGATAATCCCAAATCTCTAGATATTGGTTGAACACTCCCGCTTGTAGTAAACTGCTTGACTGTACGGTGAAATGAAGTGCGTGATCGAATTTTATCCGGAAAACGCTGAGCGTAGATATAAACAGCATCATCAAGATTCCTGCCTGCTTCTCCATAAATCAAAATCATTTCTATTTTTTCTTCCACTATTAAAAAATACATTACGAATGACTACTTAACGAAAGGAGGTCTTTTTGTTTGCAAATTAATCTTCGAATTAAATTGATTAAATAATGCTAAACTATGTATAAGTGGTTTCTTTATTCCTCAATAATAATTATTATTTATAAGTAAATACCATTTTTTATACCTCAATTAGGTTTTTTACCTTAAATGAGGTATTTTTATTAAAAATAGTACAATAATCCTTTAAATTAAAGGATTTAATGCGGGCAGGTAAAAAGTGACCATGGTGCGCAATTGATAATTATCACCGAATGAAATAATGTATAATACTTAAACACAGGAAACTTAATATTAGTTAAAAAATCGTGGGTACTTAAAAAAATCAGATTTAATTTAATAAGATAATTATTACCAAAAAAGTGATATTTTTATAGAAAAATTATTGCAGAATCATATGCAGAAGAAAAATCGAACAAAATTGATTATTTTTCATTACAAATATGAAAAAATGTTTAAAAAAAAATCTACCTATTTTTAGTCGTATCATTTAATTTTTATTTTAAACACTTTTTCGTAAAATGCATACTAACTGAGATATTTCAAAGTTTCAAGTTACTCATATATGTATGTACGTATAATGGAAAATTTGAATATTCTCACACTCCTAGATATATCTGTATATATACACAACTTTTTGATAACGAAAAGTTTATTGTGAGACTTACCATTATGAGCTTCTGAAGTTTCTTGAGAGGCAGTCAAAGTGTTTTCTGTAAAAAAAAGAAACAACTTGAATATCAGAATATTTATTTATGACCTAAATAAAAATTTACAACCACGAGCTGGAAACTTCATAAAATATAAATATGATTTCAAAACTGAATAAATCTGCAATGAGCACACTTCGCATCTATACTATACTTAACAATAATAAACTTAAACTTTATATTTTTCCGAATGATGTTAAAGTTATGCAATTGAGAGACATGGTTTACCTCGATGATATTTATTATTAAATAAATCGGCTATGACGTTGATGGCGACAATAAAATTTGAAATTTCAATTTAGTTATATATTTCCAGTCTAAAACGCGATGTAGGTATAAAATGATAGTGCCAGTCATGGATTTTATGCATTTTAAAAATTACTCCCATCAAAGTTGATGGATTAAATAAATGGCTGCTGGTTACGGAAAATCCATATTTTCCACATTTCGTTGTGTTTGTATTTGCTTTTATGATTAATAATAGATACTTATATCTATGATTACACATAATAATGCACAATTATCCATTTTAATGCTACCCTTTTATATTTTTTAATGGAAATACACGAAGAGAAAAGTATAATACTGATTATCATAATTATAATACCGCTAACTTTAATTTTTAAATTACTTTCAAGTAAAGTAAATTTTAAAATATTATGTTGCCAATTTTAAATATAAAATATTTTAAAAGCGAATATTTTTATTTGTTAACAATTAAAAATTGTAACATATTTATTGTACTTTTTAATATACAACAATGTTATGAGAAAGAATTGAACCTACACCTCGCCAAAGTTTTTTGTTTTGAGTGCGTTCCATCAACTTCAAATACCGACAGACAGGTGTTTTGACCTATATTGGGTATCATCAGTGTCGACACGACACTGTCGAGCAACTTGTAGTAGTGGAACACACCCAAAACAAAGAAATACCTGATCTTACATAATATGGTTGGTAAGCCAACAGAGGCGAGATGTAAGAACATCACGTAATCCACACCGTCTAACGCGTCGCGACGTGGCCTTTGCCGCAATCGGTACATACTATGCAACCAAGTAGGTTCATTTCTTTCTTATAAGTATTACCAGTAATGGGTCAAGAAAGTTTATTGAAGAAACTAAGAAAATTGAATGTTTAAAATTTTATGAGTTACTATATTGTATATTATATTTAAATAAATTGTTTATTTACCTTAAGCATAAAAGTATCTTTATTTTTACTATATTTTTTTATTAATGTGTAATATATTATAATATTAGATGTACACCTTATATTTGATTAAATCATATAGTAAATATTACTATTTGTAGATAGTAAAATCAATTTACTATACGAACATATTAAAAATTAAAATATATACTATACATTTATGATTTAGTAATATTGGTATTGTAATCTATACTAAATTTGTAATATTGTATCGATGAATATATAATATTGTTACCCTAAAAATTTGTTAAAGTAAATTTTACTATAATTTTTCATGTTCTGACAGAGTCTAGTACGTATAAGACAAAAAATAAAATTGCAACATTTCTCACTTAATGAACAATTAGCTTCGCAAATCAACGAGTTGTTGAAAAAAATTGGACGTTGGCTTCGTAAATTGGAAGTCGTTTCCGAAGGCCATTATCCAGTATTAGGGGCTTTTTTATGCTTTTTCGATCGGCCACAACGTCTCTTTAAGTGGCTAAGGGTTACAAACTTTTCCGGCACCAACCGCACTCAGAATTTTTTTTTATTAAATATAACAAAAAAAAATAACTCTCTTCCAGATGCAGAAAGGCATTGATAAATATAGTTATTATTATTTGTCCAAAAAAAGTTCTATACAGTTTACAAAAACGTTTTGTAGTATTAATAAAACCTTAATGGTATATATTATTCATAGACATTTTTTTTTTTCGTTTAAAATTTTTTATAATCCTAATTTTCAACCTACTGTTGGGTGTTGGGTAGTTTTTTTTTAACAATTGCAATGCATTAAAACAAATTATTTATTATAACAAAAAAATAAACTCATATTATATGACGTACAAAATAAAAAAAATATGAACTCACTTTTTAAGCAACAAGTCTGCTTCGTTTATAGAATAGACCTTAAATGTTTCTTTTAGAAAACGTCGAAATTTTAATTTTCTTTTTATCATGCTAAATTTTACCAAACTTCACTCGCACAAGTGAAATCAATAAGATTATAACACAGACTTTCGATTATAAAGTTATGTTCACCAAGGAGAGCGCTGGCCCTTTCCCCCTCTTTTTAAGGAAAATAACAAAAATTTTGTTACCGCTGCAAAACAATGGCAAATAATAAAAAAGTCTTTTTATAGCAATAAAATATTTTTGTTATTGTTCTTAACGTAAGCTATTAACAAAGATTTTCTATCTGAATTAAAATTAATTTGAATTACAACGATAGTAATTTAAAAAAGACAAATATGCCATAGTAAAATGAACAAATTTTACTATAACACTGCGCATTACTTTATGTAAGCGCAATTCACACACAACTATAGATTTAACAAAAACATTGTAAGTTCGGTAAAGATTTAATATAAGGGTTGTTTTTAAAAAACACCCGCCTTCCGCTGTCCGTAAGTTTGAATTCCAATAACTTTGTTAAAAATTATCGGATCTTGTTGATTTAAAAACCAAGTGAAAGCCTAACAAGCCCTTAGTAAACTCTTTCGGAAAATGTTTGTTTAGTTATTTCAGAATAATTTTTTTTTTTATTTTGAAAATTGTGAAACACACATTTTCGCATGTCCCATTAGCGTTTTATAAAACTTACATACATGTTTTTTTAAATATTGAATAACCAGAACTGTGTGTTGCTTTATAGCAATCCATAACATCCTTAGTTAATACAGTAAACAATTTATATATAAATTAATTAATTTTAATATACTTTTTTTAAATTAAACTCATATCCCAGACATTTTTTCCGTTGCGTTACGTCCGTCGCGTTACCGATAGAATATTAAAAAAAACATATATATGGCAACTTTTTTTGCACTCACGTGATCAACAAATGATGTTCGGACGAAAACATTACCCAGTTGAATTTATTCAATCAGGAAAAAGATATCGGTTGAAACGCGAATGTAATACTTATTTGTCCGCTAAGTTACTCAAAAAAATAATAAAAATAAGGTAAGAAAAAATACTATTTTTCATGTTTATGTTTATTTTAGGGCACTAAAGCTCATCGAGAGTAATTAATGACTGTAATGTCTTATTATTATTTTTTAAATATGGTTTCACAAAACTTTGTCTACTGCGTTACCGAGTCCCTTATGTTACCTTATGGTAACACAATGGAATTTAGGGTAACGCAATAGAATTTTTCGACAACAAAGTGTATATTTTCCGTCGCTTTTATTAAAAGTAGTTTTTGATAAACCAATTTAAAATTATTTGTGATTACAACTCATGATATAGATTACATCCAAGGGAAAACTCCACGCAATATACAAGTATTAAAAGAGACGCAAGACCTTCACCAGCTTATAGTCAAAGAAAAAGGGTGTCTACAATTTATAAATCTAAGTTGTTATTGTGCAAGTCAGCACCAGGAATTTTGTTTATGCATTACTTTAAAATAGTAGGTACCACCCTATATAGTTTCTTTTTTACGTTATCTGATTAAGTCCTTTGTGTACCCCAGTCCGTTGTGATACCAATGTCTATTTCGTTACTTTTTTAAGTTTTTGTTAAAAAAAAATACTAATGATTTTTATACACTATCACTTGGTAATACGTGTTTATAAATTAGAGTTTAACTCACTAATACAGTGACTAAAAGAAAATATTAATGGTATTGTTTTTTTAACAAAGAATCGGAATGGTTTCTTTTAAAAAGTAACTTAACGAACATAAATATTTAAAAAAAGCATACAATTTTTAATAAAAAATAAAATATAAAATTTGAGTCAAAAGTTTGTGAACTAAGTACATTTTATTTCAAAATATTTACTTTTTTTTATTGAATTAAATTTTGGATTTTAAATTGGTAACACAGTGGAGATATACATATTAAGCTAGCTACATTAATTGGAAAGTTTATTACAGTAATATAAATATTTATCCAAAATTTTGCGATATCAATTTGGACAACTTCAATTAGCAGGCATGTCCTCAGGTATTTTTGGGTCACTGCAATATGCTGTTAGTGGAGAGTTTTCCAAAGTTGTCGAAACTTTCAACTCAAAGGTACCTACTTTAAGTTCGCTTAACGGTAAATTTATCTGAAATGTTCAGGCAGCTCGGCAAATTCCAAAGCCTAAGTTAAAAATAACACAAATACCCTTCGTGATATTTAAAGATGATTTTCTCGCGAACCGTTAAACCGAATTTGGTAGTTTTTGTTTTAAATTGTGGGTTTATTCTTTGGTTATGATGCCTTTATTAAAATATTTTTTCAAATTTACGTTTTGAGTATATACAGGGTGCAAGAGTAATAAGAAGTTTTTTCCTGTAAATTTGAAACGCCCTGTGGGTTGTACCAGCCATAACAGCATATGTCTCTTATAATCAAACCATAGCCCCATCTTCTCTTAACATTTTGGTTTTTAATTTACCGCGATATCTTTATTTTTAAAAGAAATACAGTACCAGATGTGTAATCTCGCCTTGATCAATGAAATTCCATATTTCTCGTAGCATATTTGCTACGTCATCAAGGGAGGCAGGCAAGGGATCATGATTTCTTAGTCGTCTACCCATATTATATCAAAAATACTCAATGGGGTTCAGATCCGGACTATTTGCAGGCCAGTCTAGAGTTTCAACACTAACCTCCTGTAAGTACTCTTGCACTATATGAGCGGTGTGAGGTCTTGCGATATCCTGCATCAGTAAAAAACTATTGCCGATGTACGGGGCGAAAGGGACAACATGCTCAGATAAAATGTCCTCGATATATCGTACACTATTCATGGTACATCCACGAATAATGACGAGTTCTGTGCGAGCTGTCAAGGAAATTCCTCCCCAAACCATTACA